CCATGGTTTTCTGTTAAAGAAATTTCGGCCCACGGGCTGGGCTGGGCCAAGCCCAGCCCATTAGCACTCCTGTCAGAGACGTTCTCCCTATACCACTTCAGTGCACCACTTTTGTAATCAATGACTTCTGATGAGAAATAATACCACTACGACAGATATGGCCTGATTTTTCTTTCTATCTTTTTATACAACAGATACACATAGACAAAAAAACGCAGCAGAAAGCACAGAGAAACAAACAAGACAAAAGCAATAAATGTGTAAAAGTACACTAATAACAACTAAGATGTGAGGATTAAGAGTTAATCAATTACAAAAGCTACAAGCACATACATACTATATCACTACTCTGACTTTGACTTATAAGATGTGGTTCCATTCGTTATACGGTGCCATAAACTACTTACTGCTTGCCATAGCAGCTTATTAAATGTTCCAGCGTCGGAAGAGTTAGTACTAGTCGAGACTAAGCAATCTCGACTGCTACTTACGTTATCAGCAGTATTTGGATTATCTATATATATTGAAATGTGAAAAATTGCGTTTTTATTATAAATTCCTTGGATTTTTGCAAAGGATTTACTACTCTTTTCGTACAGTATAACAAACCCCTATCTTCCAACTAGAAATGTGCAGGGTATGCTTTTTTGTATCCTGTATCCTATCTGAAAAAAATTTCTTTATCCTAATCCTACTTTATCCTATGGTACCTTTACCCTAACTACAGACCTGCACGAGACTCCGAACTTCGATTCCGACTTCGTCGAAATCGGAGTTGAAAAAACTTTCAGAATGGAGTCAGAGTTCGAGTCTTTAAGAGAGCTTCCATGAGAGCATCGAGTATACGAGGCACTCGATAAAATTTTTTTTTCGATTTATTTTACTCATTCAAAACTTCAATGTCTAAAACTACTAACCCTAAAATTTTAGGTTCTAATATACTTTCTATGAAAAGTTAGCCAAGACCAACTTTTGGCACTATCGGGCCGTTTTGTGGAAAAATAAGAAAAAATATTCTATAAAAAATATGTGATTCGAGGCGTCTTATCTCCTCTTTTCAATGACGAAGACCGCAGCTCTGTATCTTGTTTCTGTCAAAAATTATTCAAAAAATACTTATCCACCTTTTTTTTCCGATGGACGTTAGTATAACCATGACAAAGGCGAACGATACAGATCTTATCGAAATTTTATTATTATAATATTACTTGCAGAATGATGTAATACTATAGAAAAATAGTGTGTCGTTTCTACTATTAGTTCAAATAGAGAAAACGGTTCTTTAAGCTTTTTATAAGGAATTAATATACTACTGCTACTACTTTTAGTATGCCCTACGTATCTGTTAAAAGCCTTCTTTATTTAAAGTCTTCTATACATACAATTATTTTGGGTTTTGTCTAACCATCTATTCAACTTTGATGCTATTTGTTTGTTGATATTCATCATTTTGGTTCTTTCTGATTCAATCTGTCCCATTGGAATATTCATACCAATATTACGATCCTCATTATCATCGTCGTCGTCTGTTGGTACCTCTGAAAATGAAAAAGTAAGAAAGTTGAAATGAACACAATTGATTTGGTGATAACGTGTAATAGAGTACTTACGACGACCAGTTTTGTAGAGCTTCAGTTCAAGTAAATCTTCATCAGCAATATCATCAGGTATTATAGCACGTGGTGAAAGAATTTGTCCACGAAATACAGCCTGGTACAAATCGCGATTATCGCCAAATAATGCTTCTGTTAAATCATCGATTATTTTCATATGAGGTTGAATCGTAAAACGCCTTTCATTACGTCCGCCTTTCTGCACCCATATTGTTCGAACAAATGATGATGATGAAGTTGTTGTAGTGACATTCATTTAAAATCTACAACAATTTTAAAAATATGTAGATGACAATTAATTAATTTATAATGTGAAAACATGAAAACCTTGAAGATGAACACGCTATGAATCATACTCATATTTTTTTTTGTGACGTTCATCACTAATTCACGTTTGTCTCAATAGTTAACAGAATTCAGTTTTTGATAGATAGCGCTATATACAGGTCAGTAAAAATATTAGTGGTTGGCAATATACCAAACCAGAAGATGATAATAAACAGAAGCAAAATGCATATGAAACATTTGGTATTATTAATGTATACTCTGTATTATATTTTAAGAGTAACATCAAAATGTACGTTACATATTTTGCAAAAGAAAAAAATCTTTTAGTCTTTTAAAATTGTCATGCACGTATAATTTAAGAGTAGTTTTCACACAACACATGAGTTTAGTCGAAGGTTTCCTTCTTGACATAGCCATTTTACATCTGAAGGAAACATATATAATATATTCATAACTCCATTGATGTATTTAATGTCTCTATTCCTAAAGATTTATTGTCATCACGAAAGATTGATGATGTATTATCATTTCTATGAAACATATACTATATTGAAAGTTTTACTTTATGTCAATCTTTTTTTCTTCCTTTTAGATTCAACATTTGGTGTAAAATTAAATGTTAAAATATAGAGTATACTGAATCTAATATGACGACACTCACATGATAGCCATTTTGAGAAATTGTTCTTCATATTTTTCTCCTATTCCGTTCAAAATCCTTGAAAGATCGCTAATCGCACCAGTGAGATTGTTAGCATCTGTTCTCTTTCAATTCTACTTGAAAAAATTGGGCTTAAAATATCGAACCTTACACCTCCAAAGTTCAAATTAATGCAATGATAATAACATTATATAATTATTATATGTTCGAGAACGAACAAATGATTTCATGTTGTCGTGAATTTTGAAATCATTATGTCAACAATTCAATTTATAAAGAGAATCACGAAATAAAATATTTTATTGCTTCAATTGATTTTTAACATTTTTTAAAATACAGGGTGTCTGGAAAGTAGCTCCCTATTTTAAATTCTTCTTTTTTCTTCAATAACAAGAAATATTTTATTTTTCTTTTTTGTTATTTTGAAGCATGCTCCATAAGGTTTTTTTGAGATAAAAACGAACATTAGTGGAGTGACTATTGAAGATTAAAATAAAAATCCGACAATAGTTATGTATATTTCGATATTTTTCAGTCTACTATTATATTTATTGCTATGATTCATTACTAATTGTCACTGCCAAATCAAATGCTCTATCGAAATATACACTTCACTTTTTTAACAACTGCGTCCCAGTTACGTGCAGTGTCTGTTAAAGTATTCACTGTTTTTACAGTTGCTGAAAAAATAGTCAATGATAAATAAATATCTTAAATTTCCAATTCGATAGTTTTCAAAACACCAATAATAACGGCTAAACAGAATAAAATTATCAAGTTAAGCATCACGGATACTTTAATAAAGTAGTTAAAGTAGAGATTTTTCCACAAAATAACAGTTTTTTTTAAGAAAAGAACTATTTTTTTATAAAATTTGATCAAAGGTT